AAACCACTTCTGAAGATGCAAGCCACTCGTGCTTGCGAAACGTCAGGAAGAAATTCTACCGAACGACGGCCTAAAAACCCGAAAAACCCATTAGTCTCAAGGAATGGCCTCATAAGTGTCTCTCTTTCGATCTTCAGAAGTTGTTCTGCTTCCAACCAAACCTTTTTTGAAACTTTCGCAATTTTAGTCAAATTCTCTTGCGATGCTTTAAACGAATTATAAATTATTTTAAAAAAACATCAAAAGCACTTTATGCAACTGAAATATAATGAGGAGCAAATAAGAAATGTTTGTGCTTATTTTTGTTGGCAGGTTTTTGGGTGGGAAACAGTGATTGTTTTCAAGCAGAGCATTCTTGATGCAACGGCGAAACTCGATTGAGATCATTTTTGATCAAATTTGAGCATCGGAGAATCCAGTAAAGTTTGACTGAACAATTAACTTAATTCCGGTTCCACTGCGCGCCAAGCGCAAAATTGTCAGAGAAAATTGTGTTGTAAAGCGTTGAAAAACTCCTTTGCTTTTGTGGAAACTTTAAAATTGTTAATCGCCTGCTTCAGTCCGAACAAGTTATATATGAAAATGTTATATTAAAAAAGCACGTTGATAAATGAGCGGGCTTTAGGATGAAGGTTGATTGTAACAATAAGCTCAACTTACAGTAGTTAACACAAGTTAAGTCCCAACGATAAAACGATTAGTCACTTCATTAGAGCCGTCACCGATAAAGTCCAGCGAAGCAAAAATCACAGATAATGAAGCCGAAATTGGACGCTGATGCGATTAAAGAACCGAATGAAAAATTGAATTACTCAAAGGCAATTAACCAATTTTGAGCGAGTCGATTGGAGAGCAAAGTGCGTCCAAAGTCAATGAGGTATAAGTCGGAGCGCGGTTAAGATTTCCGAGCCGCGGTTCGAAATTGCCACTCTACTGTATGCCTTTCACAACCCGGACCGAACTGATACCCGAAGAATCTGTCATATGGGGATGCTGTACACCTTTCTAGGTGTGCACAACTGTCATAGCTCGTTCCGCACGAGCCAATGAACTTCGAGGACCGGCCGACTGCGCCAATCGGTGCGGCCGGCGGCGTGGCCAAAGCATCGATTTAGCCGACAGGCCGGTTTATTCGTGCGGAATGTGAAGCTGCCGCTAAGAGGGCGCCACTGTGATTGTTTTAGTCGGCCCAGCCACACAACCGTTTGAGGGACAGCAGCCTCTTCCGGGGCCCGCCATTTCTTTGAACTTACAGCTGCTAACATGCCGGCCGCTCCACTTCTAAGCTCCGATCCGACGTGTAAAACGGCCACTTGGAGGATTTAATCCGATTTTACACGTACTTAGATCTGATGCGGTTAAGGTGCTAAGATGCTGGTTCAACCACACTTTATACCCACTCATTTGGTCCACGTTCAGTGTGTGATTGCACATTTCCAATATGCGAAAGTTTGAAAAAACTTCTTTGGCACAAAACAAAGTTAATCTTGATGCTTGGCTAGAAATGCTGCAGGTACATCCAGGGGCGGATCGAGCTTGAAAGTCAGGGGGGGGTTATGTAGAAAAAATACAGTCTTCTGTTACTTATCTAGGAAATTAGAAAAATAATCGTCGTTTTGTGCAAGGGTGGCGCAGGATTATTGCAAAATTTCATTCATGCTTGAATTCAAGAAGTTTTAGATTTGCGTGGTTTTTTTTGAGTTGCAAAATCCACTTGAACATTACGCTGCTTTTTTCGAAGTTTCTCAAGAACCATTCGAGCCGCAGAATTCGTTTTGGCATTGTTGGATAGAGAATTGAAAAGTCGATTCAGTCGTAACAACGTGAGTGAGGAAATTCGAGTAGTTTTGACGCAGACAGCGAAATTTGAATATCAGACACTTGGGTGCAAGATTATGCGAAAATTCCATGTTTTCTGTCCCGTTTATGCTCATATCTCGGAGGCAAAATGAGCAAGAACGCTCATTTGTACATCATTCTAGACAGAAATTAATGGCCTTTTTAGAAAGTGAACCATGGATGGGGAA